TGGGGAAAAAAAGAAAAAAAATATATAGATAGATGAATAGATATAGATAGATAGGGTCAGGATAAAGAAAAAGAAAGCAACCAAAGGTAACTATTGCGATATAAAAGACAATAAGGGAAAAGATACATTATTTCAATAAAAGGAAATAATGGATAGATTAGGGAAGTCTCCGAGAAGGAAGAAGGGAAACAAAATTAAAAAGGAGGGAACAATAATGACAAAGAAAAAAAGAAAAAGACGGAACAGAAAGAGAGTAGATAAGAAGAAAATGAAGAGGGAGAAGAAAAGATAGGAGAATACAAGGGAACAAGAAGGAAAGAAGAAGAAGAAGACGAAGAAGAAGAAGAAGAAGAAGAAGAAGAAGAAGAAGAAGAAGAAGAAGAAGAAGAAGAAGAAGAAGAAGAAGAAGAAGAAGAAGAAGAAGAAAGAGAAAGGAGAAAGGAGGAGGGAGTCAGAGAGAAGTCACACACCAGCTCCTCCGGCCTGCTCGTCTGTGCACCTTACAATAGGGCAGGTGTGGCTTGCCCCCCCCCCTCACCCCCCTCACCCTCTCCCCCCGTTTCTGCAGGGGAGGAGACCGTTGGCGAACAGGGAACAGAGAACAGAGAACAGGCGGAAACGGGAAGGAACGGGAGGGGGAGGGGGAGGGGAGAGGAAGGGAAGGGGGAAGGGGAGAGGAGAGGAAGGGAGGGGAGGGGGAGAGGAGAGGAAGGGAGGGGAGGGGGAGAGGAGAGGAAGGGAGGGGAGGGGGAGGGGAGAGGAGAGGAAGGGAGGGGAGGGGAGAGGAGAGGAAGGGAGGGGAGGGGGAGAGGAAGGGAGGGGAGGGGGAGAGGAGAGGAAGGGAGGGGAGGGGGAGGGGAGGGGAGGGGAAGGGGAGAGGAAGGGAGGGGCATGACGAACGGATGTGCGAAGAAACGGAGGAAGAATAAACGTGAGAAAAGTAATGTGTGAAGAAACGGATAGGTTGAGTATGAATTGATGTGCGAAGAGAGGAAGAGCAAAGAGAAACGGGGAGAACTTAAGGAAAGAAACGTAAGAAACAAACGAATATGCGAAATAGAAATAAGAAAACAGAAGAGAACACAAAACAGACCGAAATAAGTGGAAAAGAAAAAAAAAGGAGGGCGAACGGGAGAAGAAACGGAAAACGGGATAAAACAGGAGGAAAACGAAAAATAAGGCATGGGAACGAAAAGACAGACGAAGAGACAGAGGAAGGAAAGTGGTGGAGAATGGGAATAAGAAAGCAATACGAAAGATGATGTAATCAGTTTGCAAGAATAAGACTCGACTCGGGAGGGAAAGTTACTTCAGTGGAAGGAAAAATGGCGAAAGAGAGAGAGAGAGAGGGAGAGAGAGAGAGAGAGAGAGAGAGAGAGAGAGAGAGAGAGAGAGAGAGAGAGAGAGAGAGAGAGAGAATGGGGGAGGGGGGAGAAAAATGTATACAGAGAGAGGGAGAGGGAGAGAGAGAGGGAGAGAGAGAGAGAGAGAGAGAGAGAGAGAGAGAGAGAAGAGAGAGAGAGATGAGAGAGAGAGAGAGAGAGAGAAGAGAGGGTCGTGAGAGAAAGGAAGGGAATGGAGAGATTAAGGCAAAGAGGAAGAGAAAGTACAGCATATTTGAGAGAGAGAAAATGAAGCATCAGAATAAGGGAATGAGAGGATGGAATGAGAATTAAGAATAAAAATAAGAGTACGTATGAGAATAAGAATGAGAGAGAGAGAGAGAGAGAGAGAGAGAGAGAGAGAGAGAGAGAGAGAGAGAGAGATAGAGAGAGAGACTGATAGAGAGAGAGAGAGAGAGAGAGAGAGAGAGAGAGAGAGAGAGAGAGAGAGAGAGAGAGAGAGAGAGAGAGAGAGACTGATAGAGAGAGAGAGAGAGATAGAGCACAGACAGACCAAGAGAATGAAAAGGGGGAGAAAGGGTTGAACGGGAAAGAGGGGACGGAGATGGGGAAGAGAGGGGGGAGGAAAGGAGGAAGGGAAAGAGGGGAGGGAGATGGGGAAGGGGGGGAGGAAAGGAGGAAGGGAAAGAGGGGAAGGAGATGGGGAAGGGAGGGAATTGGGGAATGAGGAAAGGGAGAGGGAGAGAGGCTGGGCGAAAAGGAAGGGGGAAGGAAGAGGAGGAGCAACTTGGGGAAGAGGGGAAAGAGGGGGTTTGAGAAGAGGGGAAAGAGAGGGTAGACAGGGGAGAGTTGGGGAAGAGAGGAAAGAGAGGGGAGGCGACGGTGCTCGTGTGGTGTCGAGTTGCCCCCCCCCCCTTCCCCTCCACACCCTTAGCGAGCCACCGCGTGTGTTATCAGCCCACCCTGCGAGGCGGTCGTTCCGTGGGCGTGTGAAAGGGTTTCTGAGGGGTCGTTGGAGGGGGAGGGTGTGGGGAGGAGGGGGGGGGGGGGGGAGGCGTTATATCTGTGCCTCTTGGCGTGTGCGTGTGCTTGTCGAGTCTTGTCCTTCGGGATCTTCGAACTGTTTCACACCCTCGCTGGCGCTGCCGTTTTCGCCGCCGTTGGGGAAAAGGGGGGGGGGGGGGGAGGCGTTATATCTGTGCCTCTTGGCGTGTGCGTGTGCTTGTCGAGTCTTGTCCTTCGGGATCTTCGAACTGTTTCACACCCTCGCTGGCGCTGCCGTTTTCGCCGCCGTTGGGGAAAAGGGGGGGGGGGTTGTGTTGGAGGGGGGAGGGTGGAGGGGGAGGGGGGGGGGGGGAGGCGTTATATCTGTGCCTCTTGGCGTGTGCGTGTGCGTGTACGTGTGCGTGTGCGTGTGCTTGTCGAGTCTTGTCCTTCGGGATCTTCGAACTGTTTCACACCCTCGCTGGCGCTGCCGTTTTCGCCGCCGTTGGGGAAAAGGGGGGGGGGGTTGTGTTGGGGGGGGGGGGGTGGAGGGGGAGGGGGAGGGGGGGATGTATGGGTTGGCATGCGGCGGTATGTGGTTGGAAGGCAAGGATTGATGGTGTGCTCCGATGGGTGCGCACGATAGCAGTGGTTATGTTTGGTTTACGGCTTTTTGAAAGAAAGTGTGCGTGCGTGTGTGTGTGTGTGTGTGTGTGTGTGTGTGTGTGTGTGTGTGTGTGTGTGTGTGTGTGTGTGTGTGTGTGTGCGCGTGCGTGTGTGTGTGTGTGTGTGTGTGTGTGTGTGTGTGTGTGTGTGTGTGTGTGTGTGTGTGTGTGAATCAGCCATGGCTTGTTTTAGGCGCGCTAGTAAAACCTTCTCGAGTACTCATCCATGCAGTGAGTTGTAGTAGAAAACAATTATATCCGGAGAGACCTAGAAGTAGCGTAGCGTGATGTCTCCGCGGGACGTGCTCGTCGGGCGCGCGTCTCCGTCGGCGGCGATCCCGACTCCCTCGCGGCGAGTCGCGAAGCCCGGCGAGGAGGCCGACAAACCGGCAAACAAATCTGCCCAAACAATCAGCTTTCTCTATGTCGCGCACTCGTCCGTTGGCACGGCGTCCGCTCACGGCCTCCCCGGCAGCGCCACATTCGTGGAAGGTTTCGGGATTGATTTTTGATG